TATATTTAATACTTTTGCGCCGGGTACTTACCGACTTTTTCACTTGTTTTTTTTTTTTTCAAGTTTATGCGGGCTAATTTTAAATCCGATAATGCAAGTGAATTAAAATGTCAACAAATTCAGCATTCAGAAATAAATGCACAGATTTTCGCTTGGGTGAATCATGCGCGAAGAAGCACCCATACGAAAGTTAAGTAGCTAAAAACAGAAAATTTTTAATTCAGTTAGAAAAGCCCTTCAATGGCGAGGATGAGAGAGAGTATAGTAATGAGTGAGCAAATCATACTGGAAACTAAATATATGTACATACAGTATCGGTCATATCTATAGCATGCCATTTCAAAGTGATATTGTGTGCCACTTATGTTTATTTATTTATTTTTAAGAATTTTCAATTAAAATTTAGTTCATTCTCAGACAAACCCCATATATACTCAAGTTTAACAATTTGTAGAAAACTTCAAAAAAGTGCAACAAAATTTCACCTAAATTTCAAACTTTTTTCTCGGAAGTGTTAGAATTTTTTTGAGTACACAGTTTTTTAGCTCCTACAATTTTAGTCTAATAATGTGCAAATTTCAAGTGGCTACGAATTACCATTAATTTTTTAGATTTTTTTTGTCGCATTGGCTTCCATATAATGAATAAACTCAATTTATTTGTATATGGAAGAAATCCGCAACACCTTTGGCGAAAAAAATTCTAAAAAATCAACGGTCACCTTTAGCCACTTGAAACTTGCACATTATCAGACTAAAATTGATTGGGCTATAAAACTGTGTATTCTGAAAAATTCTAACACTTCCGAGAAAAAAGTTTGAAATTGATATGAAAATTTGTTGCACTTTTTTATAGTATTCTACAAATTGTTAAACTTGGGTTTATATGGGTTTTGTTAGAGAAAGAACTATATTTTAATTGAAAATTCTTATAAATAAATAAACATAAGTGGCACACAATATCACTTTGAAATGGCGTGCTATAGATATGACCGATACTGTATATGTATATATTGAAGTTGTCAAGCGACTTTTGCATTGCATTGCATGTAAAAAGGCGTCTTTCGAGTCGCCTACTTCGTTATCAAAACGCAAGCATTCAATTCTCCTGGATTGCTCGAATTCGAATTGTCTCTGCAGACAACTTTTAACAAAAGTATGCATGCATTTAAGGGTGCAGCTAAGGCAGTGAATGTATTGAAAGAAAAAAGCAGAGTGGCTGTCTAGAACACAAAAAAAAACGTAATAATGGTATTCACCAAATAGAGCAAGTGACTAGCTCACTTTTGGTGAATACCACTAATAAAAGCAGTTATGTAGAAGCAGTCAAACTTACGCGCCGGGGCCATGAAAGTGTACAAATATAAAAGTGATTAGAGAATGTTAAGTGAGCTAATTGCATAAATGGATATGTAAATTAACATTATTTTAGCATCTGTAACGGAAAGAAATCTATGGGTGTCTTGAATGCTACGAGTATTATTGCCTCAGTAGGGAAAGGGACCTACTACATACAGTTTTACGCAGACTCCGAACGGCGATTGTGGTAGCGCACTACTTTAATTTTATTAATTAGTTTTAAAATTTGAATCCTTCTTTTCATATGCAAGCAGTGTTAACTTTGGAAGATAAGAAGAACATGCGGCATGCATAATGTGGCCAACTATTTTGCAGCTGCGCAGGTATGATGCCATCGGTGCCCGGCGACTTTAATGGTTTGACCTGAAGTGCAAAATATCGCAAAGAAGTACATTTGACTGTACTTCGAAGTACGAAGTACAAGAGCGAAAAAGGTACGGTTGGTCAGATTAGGCATGCCTCCGGTGTCTCGCTAAACATTAGAGAACACCACAATTTTATTGCTGCGAAAGTTCTCGCAGAGCCTACGATAGATTATTAATTCAACTATTTCCATTTCAGCACCACTTTATCAAAGGCAAGCAAATAAATAGAAATATTCATTACCAATGAGCACATTTTTATTGTACCCTTAAGCATTAGATAAAGAATCATATACACGAGAGTGGTCAAAAAAAATTTTTTTTTTTAATTCATAAACGCTACTCCAAATTATTGTTATTTGTGATTAAAAAAAAAATTTAGAGGTCGCGCGTGTCGGTTTTTTTTATTAAAAACGATGATGTTCTCAATTTTTTATTTTCGTGACGTGTTGAAATGCAGGTAAAAATGTTTTGTTTTTTGTACATGTAATTACTCTGGTATTAGTGGGGAACATTCCCTTAATTACATACCTGTCTTGGACAGTTAGAATGGGCCCAGCGCCCGCAAATATGCCTTCAAAAAGAGACTACTAAAATTAAAACGTTGATTCTGAACAATTTACGCATTTGCCAGGGTTTGGAACTTGTTACCAGGGGGTTTCTGGGGTTGCCAATTAAGATTGTCAGTTTTTCAAAATTCAAAACGGCCGATCCAAAATGGCGATAAATTTTTTTAAATGATTGGATTTGGTCGAAACTCGGCACTCGGGAAGTTTTTTGGGTCGCTGAATATGAATCTGAAGTCAATTTTTGAAATTCAAAATGGCGGATCCAATATGGATATCAAATTCTTAAAAAATGACTTCAATTTAAACGGTGATACTGAAGGTTTCAAGCATTTTCATGGGTTGAAACTCGTTACCAGGGGGTTTCTGGGTTTTCTGGTTACGAATATGATGTCAGATTTTCAAAATTCAAAACAGCGGATCCGAGTTGCAGACAAATCCAATAATTTTTTTTTTTTAATTTGATCACCATTTTGGATCCGCTATTTTGAATGTTGAAAATCTGACATTAGACGCGTAATCAACGACCGCAGAAACGCCCTGGTAACGAGTTTCAACCCATGGCAATGCTTAAAAAGTTAAGTATCAACGTTTTCATTTTAGCAGTCTCTTTTCGAAAGCATATTTTCGGGCAATAGGCCCATTCTAACTGTCCAAGACAGATAAGCAATCAAGGGAATATTCCCCAATAATGTCTGAGTAATTAAATGTAAAAACATTTCTAGATTTTTTTTAAACCACTCTAATATACACACATATTAATTTTTTATCGATAGTATTTATAGATATTAGTGTAAAAATCGCAATAAAACTGATATTAATATGAATAGAAAAAATATATTTAGTGGCAATGGCCAACAGATGCAAGTCAACAAAAATCCAATAAAGACATAACACGCCAGCTCTAATAAAACAAAAACAACAAAACATAAAACTGTAATATAGAAAATTGGCGTGAATTTGATAAAACCGGTGCAATCGTAATATTGTTTTTTTATGTTTTCATAGCAATCAAACCGCTGCTACGCGAATCACTACAACGGCACAAAAGCAGCAGCAACTGCAATACATTTCCGCGGTCAATAACATGGGTACGCATAAAAACCGCGGGAAATACGTACATGCTCAAATATTTATGTTTTGATTTTGTATCTAGTTATGGACAGATCATCGTTGATAGTAGTAAGCAAGTACATTAGAGTGCATCACCAAAATTAGTGGCTGTTTTTTCATCGGTACTATAAAATTTATTATATTTGAAGACTTTCGCCAAAATATTTCAGAAAAAATATCAAGATTTACGTGAACGATTTCACAATATGTACCTCCAAAAAATCGTATTTTATTGATTTCGTTTATAAACATTTTTATGTAGACTTTTTAGGATTAAACTCTTCTATCATCTCAGGTGATTTTTTAACGAAAACGTTTTTAAAACCCAATTTTATTCAGAAAAAACTAGATTTTCAGAGGAAATTTCAAAGAGATATAGCTTAATATTTTTCCAAATTATTTTGGCGTAAGTCTTGAAATATAGTATATTTTATATATTCGATGGAAAAGCAATACCGATTTTTTTTTGTATGGAGAGTGAAGTACCCTAATGTACATGCATATGCAATACAACCACGGCACGGGTGTTTGTAATGCATACAAAGCATATAAGAATATTTTTAATAAAAAT